CTCCTGAAACACCTGAAACTGCCTGGCTCCCGCGCCACAGGCGCCAGCGCCAAGATGCTTCAGATAGCTGAATCCGCTGAAAACTAATTCCTACAGATAGTCTGTCCTCCAGGACACGAATATCTCATTGGCTCGGCCTGAAAGCTAATGAAAGACACTACGATCATCTGCGCTCTGCTAAGGCTAAGCTTGTCCTGAAGGGAATAACTCCTCTCAGCCGCTGCAGAGGGCTAAATGGCACTGGTGTCAAAAAATTAATGCCATTCTCGTGAGAAGGGCATCAAACAACCCTACTGTGCAAGTTTTGCGGATGTTGATGAGAAGGGGTGCGACGCGCAGAGCTTAAAAAATGTCACGTCCGTGGTCAAGGTACCAGGTAACCCCATTACTTTACAACGATTTTGGTCGGAGAAGAGGTGGAGCCAAATGGCTCAAGTGTCAAAAACGAATGTCTTTCTCGTGATCAGGACATCGAATTACCCTTACGGGCAAAGTTTCACCAAAGAAAGTTCTTTGAATTTCTGGGGTAATAGTTGAACAGTGGCAAAAACTAAAATTCAGTAGAGCGGCAGTGAATAGTGCTACTTTCAAGGGATGCTCAAATTCGATAGTCCAAGCACAACTTTAGGACTACATTTCAGTCCGTATCTTTATCACAATATCTCCAGCTCGATCAGTCATCTTCCTTTAGTACAACAACAAGGAAATCAACAATAAACAACGAAAAACAAGAAAAGAATAACAATTGCAGAGCGACGACACTCTATATTATATCGAGACATGGGGAGGGCGTGGTGTAATTCTATTGTGTAGAGTGGAGGCAGAAGGTTTTGTCCGTGGGATCTTTTTCATCCGAGCAACTCGCTCATCTTGTTCATACGCGGGACACGGACAAGATTACAAAATGTGTCAGCGGAAGGCAGGTGGCCTCCTCGTGTAAATGGAGTGAAACGGACAGGCCACGCCCTTCCCTCGATTTCCGCGATAAGGTTAATAATCATTCTAATTTCGTGAACAAGTATCAACAAGCAAAGCAACCAGCATGACATGAGGCTTCCAATACCAGTAGTTTCCATAACAACGCCAACAAATACAATACGGTACATTCACCCAAAGCTTTGGAAATATAGATAAAGCTAGAAGGGATCTGGACTAAGATGACAGTGCCCTTTCCTCTTCCGGTCGTGAACTTCCTTCCTCGGCTTTTCGTCTTTGTCTTGCTTCTTCATACACGGTAAGATCTTTCTCTTCGGCTAAAAAAGGATGAATCACTATGAGAAACTTGGGATGTACTACCTTAACCTTCTCGCCTTTGGGGCTCACGAGGCAAAATTCCCTAAGGAACGACTTACCAAGCAAGGCATTTCGTTAGAACCTGGGAAAAGAACGAAAACGAAAAGCAAAAATGACGTCCTTCCTGTAAAGTTCCTCCTGTGCGCAACCTCCTTTACTGTACATTCTCCGCTTCTATATCTTGTCGCAGAGTGAGGGGAGGTAGGCATAACGCAATGAAAAAGGGAAAAAACGAGAGAATCAACAATTGAAATTTCTCTCGAAAACAATTAGGTTCCCTCCTTCCAGTGACCAGACACCACCCCGCTGGTAAATACGACCTCGGATATCCGGCGTACAGTGTGCCCCGTTTTCACTCCTCGTAAGACTAGGATGGCCGTATTGAAGATAAGAAAAGCCGAGGTTCTGAGGATCCATCGCCATCGCACCTGTCCGGCCTGCTAATCATATGGAAACCAGCAGTAACAAGTTAATTCTACGTACCTATCCACGAGCTTATAGCGCCCATTCGGCCTCGATATCTTTCCTTTCTTTCCTTTTGTCATCACCACTAATTCTGTCTTCTTATGGTCTTTTCGATGAGCAGCGGCGTAAATCCTGAAATGGTAGAAAAACTAGATTCGTCGAAGTAAGGATTACAGTGAACAGCCTACTTTCGCATTTCTCGAACTTTTTCGGAATGTTCAAGGTTCTCGTTTTCCAAAACTCCTTCGGCTTTCTTCTTAGCTGTTTGCAAACGACGAAGAGCCCTGAAATCAAGCATTTTCTTCAGATCATTGTAAAGAAAAGTGAGGCACAGGCTCCATAAAAAGCGGATGGAACCACCGACATACACTGGATCAGATAACTGTGCGGGGGGAGGGCATTTGGAGACAGATCGTTGTGCAAAACTGGAACTGCTATAACAGAGGTAACAACTCTTGCTTGAGCCTGGAAGGGGAAGGAGCTCCTAGTTGAGTGAATCATTTTCAAGTACAATAATTCTAGTCGGATGGCCATTTCGCATTTCGCACATGGGGCTCTTTAAATGCCCCTTCAAGGTTATCCGAAGTATCTACAATTCCAGGGAGCTTGACTACTGGCTCCTGCGGTTGAGAAAGGCATATAGTAACGTCAAAGATTGGCACTATGGCGTCACCGCGCTCCTTAGACTCGCAAATCAAGGATTCTCATCTCGAATCTGTTCTTTCTATTTTAGCCTGAAAGTAGACAGAATTCAATATGAGTCAACCTAGCGGTTGAGGGATCATGAAAAGTTGGTCTTTCTCGGGCTGTCGATTGGGAGGTCCGCTCGCAGAGGGAAACCCGCGTTTCAAGGCGTCACGTGCGCGTCATTCACACCACGATTGAAGTTGTTATAACGAACTGTTTGTATTAAGTAAGTTCTAAGATTTTGCCAAAGTGCTGCAATGCGATAAGACATTTAAGCAAGTATAGGTAGCCTGAGGATGTCGCCGATTTCTCTACCGTGGGCCTCCCGATCGACAATTAGTTCCACGTACTGTACTCCGATTGCGTTTGAAGCACGGACCTTGAAGTTTAGGGATTAGTGTGAGTGCACGCTAGACCGCACGGAGGTTCTAACCTAACGAAGGGTGCGTGAGTGGAGTTAAAACGACAAAAAAATCACCAAGAAAACATGAGAAATCCTTATGATTCGGGATGGAACCACTCACTTCTTCTTTTTTCGTTCTTTCGCTTCGGCTACCTTCTTGCACGGTCGGACGCTATTCCAAGCTCTCTCTAATCTCTTTCGGTATTCTTCTACTTGTGCCTAAAAACTCTTCTGTTTTGTCAGATATTCCACAAACGACTCTTCATTACATTTAACGAAATAGCGGTAATCTTGTCATTTTCAGCATCAGCCTCTCGAGAATACCACCCCCGTTTATAATTGGGCACTTTCAGCAGCAATAACCTTTCTTGCTATCTTTAGCAAAAGATGGAGGCTTCATGGAATGGTGCTTGTTGGGTAGGTGCTCAACAAACTTCAATATTCGCGTACAAACTTTGAAAAAGACGTTCTTAGCAAAAAAGAAGTTGGCGCAAGAGCCCTGTAAACGTGAGGCCCATGACTGAGCTTTCGCTAGAGACAACTCTTTTGCTCATAACTCAACTCCAGTCCTGCAGGCGCTTGAGGATCGCGATCTGCGGCGATGGGACCACGTCTACTTCGCAATCCGATCGCTGGAATCACGCGTTTAGAGCGATCCGCATCAACCGTGCAAACTGGAGCCAATCACTCAAATGGCGAAGTATGAACGCGCTGTAAGCGGCGTTCATAAACTAAAGCTAACCTTGGTGACGGGTAGCTGCTTCCGATAATGTTTCTTTTCATCTTCAACAAACCAATCGGGGAGCCCTTCGTCATTATTTGCATATCTAAAGAGAACAAATCAATATCGATCTATGTATCGACACAACTGTAGATTTGTGTCGTGAAATCACCTGTTCCAACCCCACTCTTCCACTTCTCGAGCTGATTTACTCGAATATATCAGCTGCTCGCCAAGGGCCAGTTGCTCAGGAGTTAGGCGACGTTTCTTGGCCTCTGAATCATTTTCAATTCAGTACGTATTCAAACGGCAGGCAGCGTTCAGACTACGGATGACGCACGTTGACGCGCTCAATGCTGTAGACGGGAATGCAGCCAGATGGGTATCGATCGGCGACGGCCGCTAATGCTTTGAGAAGTGTGGAAGAATGAGAGGGTATGCTGTGCTGCTGTGCCTGTTAGCACAGTCTGTTCCCTTCTTGCTCTTCCATACTCTTCCAAAACACTAACGATTGTCACCCAAAACTCCAGCGGCCGGCTCCGATCGATATCTGTCTATGACTTTCGTTCCCATCTACAGCACTGGGATGCAGTCGCATTGGTAGTGCGTCGACGCACTATACAGCGCGTTATAACAC